GTTACGGAAGACCTCACCTATTCAGCCAGGCCAACAATTGCCCCTAATGCCCCCTCTTTCAGAGACATAGACAGGTATGGGGCATTGCAGGCTAACAAAGAAGCCAAATGACCCCCATTCCAAATGGTGGACGGGTTCTTCTGGTTCTATTTGCATGTTTTCTAAACTAAAACCAGGCTTTGTTGGGCTGCTGGATAAAACCTGGAACTAAACGCTATTTCTGACATTTTGAAGTGAAAAAGCTTCCTGGATGGAAGAGAAACGTCTTCAAACTGGGAAACAAAGTCCAGAGGATTGTTCTTAAACTTCTTTGGAATGATCAGCTAGAGAACAAAGGTGTCAAGTGTTTCTGACCTGGTTCTGGTTCTGGTTCTGGTTCAGATTCAGGTCCGGTGGTTTCAAAGTTTCAGAGGTTCGTCTGTGCCATGGCGGATGGAGTTTATCCTTCAGCTTCATGGTAAGAAATGTGATCTGTGAGGCTGAAGAGTACATCATCGTCATCATCATCATCATCATCATCATCATCATCATCATCATCAGAGAACCACTGAAATAAAAGCCTCTCAGCTGAATCAGTAGCAGGTCAAATCTGTGCTTTTCCTGGATCAGTCCTGAAGCTCCTCCTGCCTCGCTGGTCATAAACATTCATCTTCATCAGAATGAAAGGACAGGGGACACTTCCCACCATGCCAGGACAGAAGGACATCAGCTGCTGCTGTCCACCAACCTCAGTAGAACCACAGTTCCTGAGAGGAGAACATCTCAGACAGCTTCCAAGACTCAGCCCAGGCAGAAAGCCAACAAAATGGCAGCGCTTCATTTGGATGGAGGACCAGACTCCTGGGACAATGTCCTCATGGACATGATGGACAGAACCGTGTTTGGAGTAAACCTAACAGAGGATCAGCAGAACCACCTGGCAGTGGTCAATGAGTGGACTGTGAGTTCCTGTGTCACAAGTTAAAGTCCAGCATGGGTCCATCAGCTGCAGCGACGTCCAAACCGGGTCATCAGCAGGAGAGGAGCCCAACAGCTGGAAAAGACTAGAACCAGGTTTCTAAATGGCCTAGTCAAAGTCTAGACAACCTTACAGAAGCAACAGGACCTGCAGCACTGTAGGAGCTCAGAGACCTGTACTGTGCAGATTCTAATATTCTGGTTCTGTCTGACTCATTTTATTGATTTAATGTTGATCTAATCTGAGCTCAGGTGGAGAAGCAGCTCAGTCCAGATGCAGAAAGATCTGCTAGGACTGGATGGAACCAGGATGATAGCAGACCTGAGGGACAAGAGGCGTCCATTCAGAAACCTCTTCCTGTCTGATCCTGATCAGAATCTGGATCAGCTTCTGTTCAGATCTGTTCCCCTGCACTACAGGATCAGAGTTGGAACTAACGCGGCCTCAGGTTTGATCTGCCTGCTCTGATGCTGCCTTCGCTGTCCTGGTAGAGTGTGGGACAGAGTCAGCTGGGGTTCTACAGGAAGGAAGACAGAGGGAGACTCACGGGACTTGGTGTCGGACCGGGAGGACATCCTGGAGACAGCTGAAGGTGGACAGAAGCACAGGTGGACGGCATAGACAGTCTGATCCTCCTCTCTGCGCCTCAGAGGCTTCGTTTCAACCAGCCGCCTCACTTCCTTCCTCCTTCTCTTCTTCCTCTTTCTGTCCCGGTAACCATGGCAACACGGATAATGCTGCTCTGAGGTCACAGCAGCCATTTTCTTAGCCTACAGCTCCCCCTGCTGGCTGAAACTACTGATCTCAAGAAACACCCCTCTGATAAGAGGATGGTAAGGAGCTGAGCCCAACAGTACTGACCCTAAGGTTCTATCCTCCAGGTTCTACAGGTCCATGTCCAGGTTCTATCCTCCAG